AATCAGGTTCACTACCTCCTGGTATTATGCTTTCACTGCCATTCAATTACATTTTATTAATATTTTTTGTAGCATTTTATGTTCCATTAGCAATAAATCACGCTCAATTACCTTTAAATTTAGGTTTCAAAATAACACCAAAATTATGCCAAAAAACTGTCTACAAAGCAATAAATTTCTATGTATTCATTTACAAGCACATACCGTTACGAGTAAAAAGTCCGTATGACATTTCTTTATTATTAATAATTAATACAAAATATAAATAAAACAAAATTTTCAATAAACATTAATTATATAATCAAATTAATAAATTATGAAAAGCAATAAAGCCGAAAAAGCGAGCAGAATAAGTAGCATAAAATTGTTGTCAAATATTCAAATAATTTTGTGTCAATACCGTAAACTGGTTTGTTTGCTGTTACACATTTATAATTTCTAACACAAATAAAACCAGTTTACAAACAATTACGCATGACTATGCAAATTCAATCATTTTTACATAACTCCCCGGCTTAATGCATTTAAAAATATTTACCAACAATCACACATGCGACGCAATAATAACAACACATACTTCAAGCGACACGCSTTCAGCAGCATTGGGAAGTGGAGACTTTAAGCTGCATTTTATTTACATAAATATGCGGACAACCGTTGACATTGAAATGCACACGAAAAAACGTATGTCTACACCTCACATATATGTATGTATTTACATGCAATTGATTTCCACATACATACACTTACATACTTCACACACGCGTGCCACAAATTAGGTCTTTAGGCTGTGTGAGAGCAGCTCCTCCATTTTTTTGTGGTTTAATTACTGGATCAGTACGCCAAACTTGCACTGGACGGAGAACGTATTTAATGGCAGTTAGTTTTGAATTATTATTATTGGAGTTTATTAAGATCAGAGTGAGTATTTGAAGAAGAAGAATTGGCTGGTTTAAAGAATTTTTCAATATGCATTATACCAGAGGTAAACTGTGGTGAAAAATCATAAATATTTTTTTTTGCTGCCTTTAAAATAATCCCCACCAGATGCGTGTACTATGCGCTCGATTTTTCCAGTTCTCTAAACACTTTCATAAGCACTTTTTGCGATGGCCTTCAGCTCCTTCAGCGAGTTTTGTTTTATCTCTTCGAACTGAAATCGGATTCCACAGAGCGGCATTTTCAGTTTGAGTCCAAATCTGGTGTGAACACGGTGGTTGAACAATCGAATTCATTGCATTTTTTTGCTTTAAAATTGGACGCGCCAGCCAAAATCCATGAATTGTTCTTCCACAATTCTGGCCACTTTCGACGGTTGTCCTCACGCAAACCCCGCAATACGGCTAAAAAGACTCCATTTTGACCAGGACAGATGGAACCATGATGCGCCAAACCGTGAAAATCGAAAAAAGCAATGAGCACCATCTTGATTTTTGAACGGCTTCGGCGTGGTTTTTTTGGTTTCGACTTGTTTTTCGTTCCCTTGCGATGATTGATGACTTCTTTGAATATCAAACTCATAAATCCATGTCACATAGGCAGTTATAAAGCTCTCCATGAATGTGTGATCGGAATTCGCACGACCAAGCATATCCAAAAAAGTCTGTTTACGGTACTCTTTTTAAAAGAAAGTTCTTCTTTATCGGGGCGAGTCGAGCAAGAACGCGTTTCTTACCRAAAATATTCACCACAATCATTCGAATGGACTCGCGAGAGATATCGAGATCTCTTGCCATCTCTCTAATCATCTGAAAAATWAAAAATAGCTGAAAATATCGAAGGTCGTCCAGAACGAGGAATGTCTTCATTGATCTCTCAACCGTCTTTAAAGCCTTCGTACCATTCGTAAGCCTGTGTTTTTGGTAAAACTGAATCACCTTAAACCTTTTCGAGTTTTGGCTAAAAATACAAAATTTTAGAAAAATTTTTTGTTCGATATTTTTATCCATGGTAAAAATCGCAAAGCACTTCTGAGGTGAAACGATGTAAGCAGCTGCTCTAAACAAGCTGGTTGACCAATCGCACTCATATTTGACCTAGTGATTATGGATAGCCCTACCAAGTTAAAAAAGTAAATTTTTTTTTAAATTTAATTACAATTTCCGGATGCTTTTTGTCACAATGTATACCTGACATAGTGTAGAAATTATTCTATTGAAATGTAATATATATATATATATATATATATATATAAGAAAATTATATAAATATTTGTGTTTAGTACAGGAAAAACTATACTTCAATTATTTTATAAGCTTCTAGCATATGTGGATTGGAAAAATCTGTCCCATCAATTTGAAAACACTGTCAACCTTGCTTCTATTGGTCTGATACAAAAGTATTGTTTAACAAATATTTAATTAAAATAAGCAAACATATTTCAAATATTTCAATATCTACTGAATAATCTGATTGCACTTCACTAGCAGATTATATAAAATTTATGCTATTCGTATCTACAGTTACATGCCGCATTTAACTAATTGTAACGATAATATCTTGCCAAATATGCAAATGCTGTGAATACCTGAAAGCATTGTGAGTCAAAACAGTGCATACATTTGAAGATAATTGTTTTATAATAATTCGATTGAGCTAAGCCAAGGCTAAAGGCATATCATTTACGAAAATATTCGAATTCCACTCGTCAAACTTMAACTTAATGCAATAAATAGCCCAAGTAGTGGCTTAAGGACATGCGGCATTGCAGGAGCTATTGAACAATAGGCATGTCAGCAATTTCGACTGCCATAAAAAGCATATGCACACACACACACACACACACAGGCATTAACACACAAAGTAAATTGCTAGCTGAGCAATTAGAAACAAGATTGGAATTATGAAATTTCACTCAAATTTTGATAACTCAACTGTGGAGCTATGTTGTGCGGCGGTGGGTGCATGACTGCTTAAGTGCAGCGTATAGTGGGAAGTATCAGTTTCAGTGGTTGTCAACCTGCTGTCGAGTTAGTGTTGTTGCGCCTATTGTGCCTGCTGTGACAGCCGCTGCCGCTGCCGCTGCCGCTGCCGCTGCCGCTGCTGCTGAGGGCATAGTCATATAAAATGATTGTTGTTTTCAAAGCTGTAAATTGTGATTGCATGTTTTATTGTTGTATGCAAACGAATATTATATGTACAKATGTATGTGTGTATATTTATTTGTATGTGAACATATATGTACGTATGTGCATTTGTGTGTGTGAACAAACAAAAACTTGTGTGCGGCATAAACATATCACACAACTAATCACGTCACAATGTCAGACAAGTGACGACGCAGCGCAATGACAGTAAAGACAAATGTAAACACAACAACTGATGGCAGCAACAAACACACTCACACACACGTACATTTGCGCGTATTATAAGCACATATTTACATATTAAAGATAATTGCTGCACCGACTCGCTTGGCCRSGGGCGTAAGGAATCACTGCAAAGCCAACAAGCTCGCACTCAACGCCGCCGATGAATGAAAGGTGCGCTTACGTACAACAGCAACAAGCACACGCATATGTATGTGTACGCGTGACTATTTCTGCTTCTGCAATTATCATTGACGATTTTCAGGCAGATTTTCTCATTTTGTCATATTGTGGTCGACTTCGGAGCTTTCAAGCTCTTTCTTCGCATGAATATTCATGTGACGTCGTTTTGTTATTATTTCGTACGCGGAACATTATACGTTCTTATTAGTACGTCTGTCCGTTGACAATATTTGCACAATTGCTTGTAATTACATCATAGTACATGCTGTTAATTACCGTTGCTAGAGAAGCGGTTTCTCGTATATGTGGCATACTCGTATGGCGGCATCCATRCAAGGTTTTTGTCAATAAAATTGTGCAATTGGGAAATATATTGTATTGTTGCGCACAAATAATCAGTCGATAAATGCAGATTGCTCATAACTTAGCCGTTTCCATTGCGAGCGCACATTTTTATATTCATTAAAATTAAAAATTTTAATCTCGCTCGTAACATCAATTACAAAGTATCGTTATGTGATTGTAACTGTGCACTGCCAGTGGCATTTAACTGTATTTATTTGACATTTCATTGCGCAGTTATTAGTTATTTGCCATTTGATTGTTTTTCATTTATTTCCGGTTATTATATACCTGAGATTTCGCATTAAGATCCGCCTGTAATGGCGGTGTCATGCCAGATTTTATAGCATTGGTATGTATTAGTAAAATAATCGTTATAAAAACCCAAATGAGCTGCTCAATGCTAGGCTCGTCATATTGCTAAACAAAAAATTATTAAAAATATAAAACTTGAAAGTTTTGATTAAAAAAACATAGTTTGTTTTTGTTCTCTCAACCTGAAATATAAACAGGCTCTACAGATAAAAAAAAATGAGCAGCTTYTTGATGTAATAATTTTGTGTGTCGAATTTCACAAAAAATATCTCAAAAGCTGAGGCACTTCTTCTGGTTCGCAGTTTTAGTATGTGTATGTTTGGAACAGGCAGRCACATAGTCAGAAATCACTACACAAACTGAGTTGGTCACGCTGATCATTTATTTAAGCACCTCATAAGAYAGCCGATATTCCCTTATGTGTATTCCAAACTTTATCACAAAAATGAATTTTTGAGTCAAAATTTGTTTCGTTTTATGTTCGCATTCGGACAAAGGAGAAGGTCTGGTGGATTGAAATAGACAACATTGGGCTACTTTTCAGTTATAAGAAGCATATTACTGATGGGTGCTCATTTTCTACTTATTTCATAGGTTCCAAACCGATTGACTTATATTTCGGTCAAATTTGAATAACAAAGAGAACTTTTATACATTGGGACAAAAAAGCACCCGGAAGATATAATAATACTCCCCGGGTAAATGATATTTCAAAAAGAATAAGTTTTAGGACTGTCCTTAGATTTTATGCCAAATATGAGCGCGATCTGTCAACCAGTTTGTTTACAGCACTTGTGCGAAGGAAATTCATTGGAATGATTTTGGTGGATATTTTAGGTATGAAACGCCTTCTTTCTCGACTCGTCCCGATAAGGCKGAATTCTTTCCCAAAAGTGTATACTGTACAGTACAGCACAGGTCTCTTTGGATATCGTGAAAATTCATAGCACACATTCATGGAGAGAATTATAACCGCTAAAACATGGACTTATGAGTTTGACATGCAAACAAGACAGCAATCATCTGAATGGAGGGAAAAACGAGTCGAAACCAAAAAATGAATGCTGGAGCCGCTSAAAAATCAAGGTGATGCTCAATGTTTTGTTTCGATATTTCTCGATGGACAGACAATCAATWTAGAGATCCATTTGGCCACATTGTAGCATTTGAACAATTCTTAGATTTTACATGATGATAAGGAACCATAATATCGAACCACGATTGTGACCGATTTTAAAGAAATATTACTGCTTTTGGAACTTGATAATATTGAAATAATTTTATACTGAATTCCTTTTCATAACATTATCCACCTTTATCAAGCTTTTTGGTTTGTTTTTGCGGTATTTTTATTTCGAAAATTTCTTAACCTTTTACGGGTGCATTACCATAAATGAAATCTCGCACTAGATTCAAAAATAAAATGTTTTCTATCTAAGATTTCACCAACAAATTAAAAATACGCTATGGACTGGATTTTTGTAAAAAAAAAAACATTTTCCCGAAATTCTGCTTCAATGCAATTGAAGTTTTACATTTTCAAAATAGTGTAATATTCGTAAAAATTTAAAAAAAGGTATAGTTATTTTTTCATTTCAGGTTGTATGAAAGCTGTTTTAGTAATATATTTATMCAAAGTTGAAAGCATCTCACTCCTTTCCTCTTCACCAGCAAACCCGCACAAATCAACTATTCCAAGCAATCTTCATTGCATTTCACTCAAATTATTTTCAATTAGAAGTTTCAATTAATTAATTATGCAACAATCTTGAAACAAATTAAAATAACAACTGAAATTGTGATCGTGAATCACTTTTGTAGCGTTTACYAAATTGGAAATCCCCAACTGACTAAAACAAAAGCAAACGCTTCAATTAAACCAGCAACGATCGTTAAGGCAAATTACCACAAATTGTCCATAGYCTATTCATATTCATTAAATAAAAATTGAAAATTTAATATTTTTTTTTTCTTTCAACCATTTCATTACAGTAACAACAACGTGCGCGCGCAAACTAGTTGAGCTAATTAAGGTGATGCCACCGGCTAATTGAAAGGCGGTGAATTTCACAATTTTTATGTCACGAATAATGCAACAACAGAAAAATAATTAAATTATTAAGCAACAGCAAAAGATTTTGCAACAAAGCAAGTAACAATAACAAAAAATCAATGCAAACAAGTTTAAATCAAACGCCAAAATAATAAGTGCCAGAGTGCTAAGGAAAACCACCGACGAAAACACATAAATATATACAAACATATGAACTCGCATAACTTGAAGGAAATCTAACAAAAGCTCTAATCAACACACATACACAGCAGCAAACAGATCAGCKCTAATCATTATATAACCGTTGAAATTACAAACGTGTCAAAGGGTAAGTACAYTCTATACCTAMACATACGCAACTGATGACAAACYCCTTAAACATACATACATAAGTATATATGTACATATGTTGTTATCTCTTCCTTACCWTGTCAGCTTAATCAAATTTCATTTAATTAGTGTTAGAAGCCTGAATGTATSTGTGCRAGGATTATAGTTGCAAAGGACTCTTTGTTGCAGTGCGCACAGGTGGCGCACGGTGGCATTTAAGTCAATTTTTTACACGACAACACTTTCACACTTGCGTTGGCAACACGCTTGCCACTCCATTACCGCCGCTGCCACTGATTGTTGGCTCAGCTGTCAGATWTGAAGACACACGGTTGTTTAGACGTTGTTGTTGAGAAAGCAGTGGTGCTTGGTTACTCATACTCCTCATCCTATGCGGATATAAATAATGACGTTAACCGTTCATATATAGGGTAATTTTTATTTTTGTACATATGTACATATATATGTTTTTCTTTGCATATATATTGGGTAGTCGAAAAAGTCTTTTCGTATCTCTAATAAAATTTTAACTTATTTTTTTATTTATATAATAGTAAATAAGTAAACAAGTATGTACTCTTTCGGTCGACCACTTTTTGCTATTTTTCCGCTAGAGACATTACTTCATCCGTCTAAAACTTTCATCATTGTAAAATTTACAGAGCGGAAGCGATTGAACCATTATTGTGCTACACGAACTGATACTGCATCGTCTCCGTAAACTTCTTAAATTGCATTGGTGGGTTGCGTGGCATTCTTCCCTTTTTTTATTCAAAAATGTCAAAATATTGTAAATTTATTCATTAATTTCACCAATTTTTTAACAGCTGTAACTTTTTACAACTTCCCTGAATTTTATTTTATTTCTTTTATGATTAAATAAAGCTTAAAATCTCACTTTTCCAACAGTGTATGGTATGACACATTGCGATTCGTAGCACTGGAGATATACGACCGSAACGACATCTATTGACAAAATACGAAAATACTTTTTCGACTACCCAATATTATTGTTTAAACATATTGACCTTGACAGAATATATATAATATACTTAGCACAAACAATTTTGTTTTGATATTTTGAATTTTTTTGATTTTTTATGATTTATGAGAAAATAATTTAACCATTTTATCGTGCTCTAATAAAACTCGAAAGTCAATAACATTAACAAAAAACTGAATTTTGACGGAATATTTATATCACGGGGTACAAGTGTGCGTCTGATCCCTCACATTTTGAAATGTTAATTTTCAAAAATGGTGATTTAGCGTAATTTTCAGGGTCCACTTGACTTGATTACCATATATATTTTACTCTTTTTGAAGCCCGAGAAGGATAACCTGTACCTAGATTTCATGGATCGGCAAATCGCTTAAAGTATATCACGAATCAGCGTAGGTTTCCATTGGATTTTCTAAATGCTTCAAGGCGTGAAACCGATTATTCACGCTTAAGTAGTATACAAAAGTTTTACTTAGAAAGCCCATAAGGGTGCTTATACAATTTATCAAGAAAGTATCGGGAATTCTTCATTTCTTCTCTCATCTCCCGCTTATATGAAAGACGGCTTAATTTTTTTCCTAGGTTGGTACAACTGTCCTTAAGCATGATGCCAAAAATTAGCGCGATCTGTCAACCAGTGTGTTTACAGCAGCTGTTTATGTCAGTGGACCACAGTTGTGTTTGTCGAATTTTTGTTAAATTTTGTCCAAGCACTCAACAAATATCAATTAGCAAGCACCGTWTTCACTTGATTTGGCTCCATGTGTCATCTTTATCTTAATTTTGTTCAGCCAGCTTAAATTGTCCGGGAAAATAATATAATGTCCCATTTCCAGAAGACATCTTGAAAAATAAAAAAGTTTAGCTTATAAAAATACAGTTTTCACCGCTCATTTCGCATGGCAGCTATATCTTGTAATGGTGCGATATTAGCGGTTTCGCTAAATGAGCAGCTTCTTAGCGATATCTCAAAAAATGAGGGACAAACAAACAGACAGATGGAAAAAGGGATAGACTAACGAACACGGATCAAATTACTCGTCATGTTGATTACTTATATATGTATGTACTTTATAAGATATTCGACGTTGGCTTCAGGATCACCAAGATCATGTGTTACAGCGCCATAAGAAAACCCGCATGCTCTTTACTCACACTGTCTCGAAAATACTGCTGGACGGTTTTTGACCCACTGACAGGTTACAACCCACAGACATAGTATGCGAGCCGGATAGACATAATTAAAGGCGACACATGCAGAAGGCGCAAAGAAGAAGACATCAGTGACGCTGGAAAACGTCCTTTGCCTCTGTCCAACACTATCTACCGCTCGTCTCAAATATTTAGGAGCTTAAAGCGTTCGCAAAAAGCTCTATAACAGCCGGAGAGCAAAATCTAACTTAACCCAACTTCCTTGGTGCATTTTCTGTACTAACTGTTTAGTGCATATAAATATATTCACCTGCATTTAAGGCGCAATATGATTAAATTATAATAAATTAATTATCATATTGATTCTTTAAGCGGCAGGTACCAATAATAAATAAACAATTTTTTTTGAACACTGCTATTAATCAAGACAAAAACGAGATTTTGCAATAATTTACATTGTTTTAAAATTGATTCATAAGAAGCATGCAACGATACAATAATTACTATTAATGCGCCGCTTAGAAGAATACCTGCAGGCCTTCACTGATGATAGGCAATTTGCCGTAGTCGTGCCGGGCGTATACGTAACCATAAAAACTCAAGGAAACTACAAAAACGCCAATAAATCAATAAATTCACTAAAAGACAAACGGTTAATTGTGATAATATAAACAACACGAATATTAAAAATTTTCTGCATAAATTTACAAATGTTCAAAATATTTGCATAAACTTCTCATAAATGCGAAGTTAAATAAATTTTATGTTTGTTTTGAAACGGCTAGACGCAATTTAACTGCACGTACTCCCAGCTCATCACACCCTTGAGCGTTTTTACAGCCGTTGCTCTATGTGGAGGATTAGTGCTGAGATTTATGGCACAGTAGTGTTTCATGAATTATTCTACAGTTATGACTTGTAAGTAAATATCAAATAATAACAGAGTGCAGTTACTTAGTAGAAAAGCACACCTGCTCAGTGTAACCGACTGCACATGAGTAAATAAACTAAGATGTGTGATTATTCATGCAACTATATGATTTGTTTTAGCACAAGTAAGCCTATACACATGCATATGAATGTGTTAATATTTATTTAATATGCCTGCAACACCTTTCCATAAAGCAATAACAGTAGAGCGCCACACACAAGTGTGCAATTAAAATTTTTATTAAATTTTAAATAAACAGAAGTGCGATACATATGTACATGTATCAGCGTTTTAATGAAAGATCATGGAAAATTACTAAATGCTTTTCGAACAATGTTGGTTTAGGAACTTCATTTATTTAAAATGAGCGCTTGAAGCCGCGCACATATGGGAAAAAAAATATTTAATAAGTAGAATTTTTTGCCGCTACAATTTGTTTGATCAGTGTTCAATAGAAAATACCATATTTTAAGCAACCAAATTGAGGTTTTACTCCAAAAACATTTAAAAAAAAATATTAAAAGTTTTCACCCACTCTCTAATACCCTTTACAAATACAAAAGATTCCTTATATGAACTTGATTTATATATGCCGGTTTGTATGCCAGCTATATGCTATAGCGATCCGGTATTTTCGGAAACTGCAACATGGTCTCAGATAAAAACCCATGCCACATTTCAGGAATATATCTCATCACATCAAAAAATTTTTCTTATAAGGACTTGATTTCGATTGTTRAATTTGTATGGCAGCTAYATGTTATACYGCTCCGATCTGAACAATTTCTTCGGAGATTAAAGCATAATCTTAGRCAATAATCCATGYCAAATTTTATGAAGATATCTCGTCAAATGAAAAAATTCTTCATRCAAGCACTTGATTTCGAACGGCCAGTTTGTACGGCAACCATATGCTCTACTGTTCCGATCTAAACAATTTCTGCGGAGCTTACAAGGCTGTCTTAGATAATAATCCTTGCAAAATTTYGAGTAGATATCTCGTTAAATAAAAAAGTTTTTCTTATAAAAACTTCATTTCCACCGGTCGGTTTGTATGACAGCTATATCATATAGTAGTCAGATATCATAGAGTAGTCTGACATCGGCGTTCCCGATAAATTCCTCGTAGAGAAAAAACATGTGCAAAAAGATCAGTTCGATATCTCAAAAACTAAKAGACTAAATCGTGAACAGACGGACTCAACTCAGCTCATCACGCTGGTCGTTTCCTATATAATTTCGTCTCTGATGCTTCCTTCCGTATATTACAAACTTYTTAAACTGCCTTAATATTACTTGTTGAGGATATAATAAACCAAATAAAGGTCGAAAGTGGCTCGCGCCGCATATAAAATTATTGCCACGCTTTAGCAGTTCATTAAAGCCACTTAAGCCGCTGCGGCAACGAAAAATAGCTTAGCCAATCAAGCCACCCAAACCAATCTTAATGCAGCGGTATATATATAGGAGTTTGAATTTATTGGTAAAACGACCCCTTCGCAGCTGCTGTAAATTATACCCCCCACCTCTTTCAGCCTTATAAATTGTGCCGCCACCTACTGTAATATTCATACCTTCCTACTTCCTGCACAAGCACACAAAACCATGCACAGCTGTAAGCATGTTGCAAGGAAACACCTTCCACTTTCAATAGAAACACACACACTTGCATGCTTGCCACTTCGCATTTTGTAATATTTCGTGCCGCATTTATGCTGTTAAATAATGTGCAAATTTGTAGCTTAAAAAGTTTCATCTAAAAAGTGGAATACCATAAATTTTGCA